AAGATCTCGATGACATAAATCAATAATGTTTTTGTAATTAAAAGCCTTTATCAATAATCTCAGTGCCCACAAGATGTCAGTATCTGTGGCGCTGCAGGTCAGTAAGTCCATTTGATCCTCATCACCTGGGATTTACTGTCTCTGTGCAGTCGAAACACACCACAGTACAAATCACTGTCACATAAACTCTGTGTGTGTTCCACCAATCAGAGCGGTTTTTGACCAGTTCAAATGACTCCAGCGACGCAAAACCATGACTGCACTTTGTTCACACCCGGAATTGAAGTCAACCAACTGCTTTGTTTCTTCACACTTCTGTGTGTCTTTGCATGCAGTCCTGGATCCGTGCCAGAGAGCAGGTCAGGTGACTTAAGCTAAGTTGGCGTGTCCAACCAGATGATTGGGATTTGGGGTGGTCGGACCCTGGCCGTCTCCCACCCGCCACCACATCCCACCTCCATTCACCAAAGCTCAGCAGATTAACTCCCTCAGATCTTTCCTCTTTAATTAGGAGCAAACAGGAGGCATGAAGGCACAGCGACTCCATGCTAATAATTCATGATAAGCACAGCTGGGGAAATAAACAAAGAGGCCTCACTTAGATTTCACCAGAAAATTTGTATGTAAAACCATATTTTTCTGCTTCTGAATATACTCCACAAAACAATGTTTACTCAGCTGGGAGAAAAAACTCATAAATTTCATCTATTATCATTTCTACAAGTCCGTTGGATCACATTTTTATATATAGTTTTTTATCTTTCAGCTATAGGCAAATATGAAGAACAGGGGAAATGAGCTACATATAAGACTCGGCTTTAACTTGGAGACCCACAATCATGTGGAGCGTCCTCTCTAAGCTATGTAGCACTGACTCCATTAAGGCCCAGTCAGCAGATGAGAAAAAACACCAAGCTATGTCTCAGTAATTGTACCAGCAGGGTTTTGTTTGCTGTATTCTTCTCCGCCTTGTTATCTTAAAGTTATTTTGCGCCCACATATATAGAAGATGAGGCACTCAACAAAAGGAAGCTGCAGTGCTGAAAAGAACTGACACTTGAACAGAAGATGCAGAAACCCTGAGGGTCTTATAAACAGTATTTTAAGCAAATCAGACTGTAAACAAACAGCTGCAACAATTGAGTTTGCATTAGACATGAAAAGGAGAGAAAGCAAGGAATTTCTCTAACCCAAGTCAATACCTAAGTCAGTGCAAAACATATAGTAGAATGTAGTTCTTTGTATGACAATGACTCAAAAATAAACTTTAATTCCACAATAATGCAAGGTTGCAAGGATGTCAAAGGTCACAGAAATAAAAATTTATTTGGTCCTGCAGTCTATAAAGATTTCATAGGAGGTAAAAGCAGTAAATAGTGAGTTCATGCTAAAAGGGATGGAAGAGTGGGTTTATCACGCCTTCCCAGAATCCTCCCCTGGAAGCCATTCATTTCCTGGATATTTGCATGAGACGTCTCCTCAATTCATTGCAGGGATTGCCCCTCCTCCTGAGGCAGGCCTATGGCGGGCACCATCAGCTGCAATCTCACTGTGCTGCCAGAGGACACAGCTCTGCAAATGAAGGACGGAGACATTACAAAGTGTAAAACCCAAGCACAAATTTTCAGAGTCACAGCTGCGCACACATCAAGTGTGCGCAGCTGTGACACAGTATCATTAACGCTGACAGGAGGCAGGGCCAGAATAACAGGCCGAGAGGGTGGATTATGTGGATGCGCATGTCTGTAGATGTCATGATGGCGTAATAAAGAACTGCAATGTGTGATTGGTGGATAGTGTCCCTACATGGATGGGTAAAGGCAGTCACAGGTGGGGCTTGGAGGAGGGGTTAAATGGAGACTGGTGAAGACAGAGAGTAAGGGGGCTAAATTTAGCCAATGGCTCTGCTGGGGTGGAGCTAATCCTCTTTGCACTCGAATTATCTGGCCTTCGGATTAGAGAGCTTTGCCTCTATGTAAGACATCTACTCTTTATAATGATGTCCCATAGCAGGCCGTACCAAGTCCTCTGATGGGGGTGTGAGAGTTGACAGACTGACCACAGATATGAATTTTGTGTGCGCGTGCACGTGTGTGTGTTTTGTCATGGCATTTCCCACAAATGTGCGTTATATAGTAACAGCAAGTTAGTAACAGCTATCATATATTGCTGCATATGGTGCATTTAATATTGGATCAAAATTAAAATTTAAATCTTAACACAATATGTACACTAGTGAGCAAGGCACAAATGATCTCTGATATATACAATGCACAACTCAGACACCTTAATATATAATTCCATCTTAATATTTAATAATGAAACTTAGATGTGTCTGTGGAAAGAGATTTTGAGCTGTAAATGCTGCATACATATCTAAACCAGCAGGCAGGTATATGGTTTACATATCAGCTGTAGAGACTCCAGTTAAGGCATAGAAAAACTAATCTGATAGGTCACAACAAGATGACTAACGGAATAGAAAAGCAGTAAATAAGTATTTGTATTACAGTGCTGGATTTTTATTTTTGCCAGACTTTTCCTGCAAATCTTATTTTCGTGTGAATAACCGGGCAATTTTACCTCTGAAAGCTTCTTGTAAACAAACTGCATTTATATACCACTTTTATCCAAACTACCTTAGATTGTGTCTTCAATTCACCCACTCAACACACACATTTTTGAAAGAGAGCCACCACCACTATCTTGATTTATCAGAACAGTCATTGCAGCTGAGGGACAGAGCTGACTGAGAACCTTCAGAATTTTTACATTCAATACCTTATCAACATTTTATTCTAAACGGGTCCCCAATTTACTAAATGAACACAATGTATTAATTAAAAATGACACAGGCAACTGAAACCATAAACTCACTCAAAAAGTTTTTACCGAGGTCATAGATCAGTAGATTCATAGATAGTCCAATATATCCGCTGTCCCTTCTCTGCACATGTCCAAATGAGTCTCATCTCTCATCTCTCTAACTGCTCAAGCTGAGATTTTGTCCATCCTGGTCAGTCCCAATGAAAGCCTCAACATCTTCAACTCTGGCACTAACCTTTATTAGTGCCATCCTCTCACTCACCAGGTTTATGTTAAACAGTCTGGTCAAAAAGTCCACTGCTCTGTCTCCTAGACATCTCCATATTTTCACAGGTGTGTTTTCTGGATCAACCCAGCAACATGATTCAGAGCATAGCTGCCATGGTCCTGGGTCTTGGACCTAGCTTTTGCGTTTATGACTGTGTGATTCCTTCTTTGGGATTTAAGAGATTTTCATGTTTTAGTTCTGCATTAGTTTTCTGTAGTTAGTATTCTCTAGTGTGTCTGAGTTTGTTATTTCTAGTTCCTGGCTCTTGTTTTATTATGTTAATTCCCTTTTGTGTTTAGTCTGTTCCTGGTCTTGTCTTGTCATCAGCATCTCCTTTTGCAGCCTGTCTAATCTCCATGGTCTTATCATTTGTCTCCCTGGTCATGGTCCCATGTCTGTCTGGTGTCTCTTGTCCTTTCATGTTAATTCACAGGTCCAGTACCTGAATCCAGTTAATGTGTCTCAATCTAGATCTCAGTGTGTTGTTGTTTGCTGTTTTATTTTGATAGAGTCCTGCTTCATGTGTATGATTCGACTTTGTTCCCCAGGGGTGTCCTCTCTGTCTTATCTTCTCCCTGTGTATATATTATTTGCATCTCCCTCACGGCGTGTGAGTTTCTGTCTGCCCAACCAATAGCTTGGTTAGTTAGTTCATTTTCTCTGTTGTTATTCCAGCATTAAATAAAGCTGTGATTCTTAGTTTACTTCTGTCTTTCAAGTCCTGCACTTTGGGTACATCCTCTGCCTGCTACCCACCTGCATCACATCACAGTAATAAAGTGGATTGTATCATATCCATCTGGGTAAATAGACCTATACATAAGTGTTTTAATGTCTTGCTCAAGCAGATTTGGACACTTTCTAGCCTTTCACTTTTATATTACAGGACAATGTAAATACCCTCAGTAAAAACAAACTATATAAGGATGTTTTGGCCCAGGGAGACTGCAGATAGACGGTGGAGAAGGCCTCTTGAGGCCTATGTAATACATCTATATATTAAAGCCTTTTATATTATATAATCTACTATCATTTGGGAAATGCCGGGCATCCATATACCGCACCGTCAAACCATAACTGCAGGGTTTTTTTTGTAGCATCAGACCTCTCTTCTATCATAGTCAGTATATTCTGTGTATGTAAACCACAGGAATGATATGTGGAGCAGCAAAGCTATGATTATCCATCTTCCGCTCTAGGTGCCACTCAGACACATCCATAATAACCTCTACACTCATCCACACCCAGAGAAATAAAACTGCCAGCCCTTCCTTCCTGCTTCAACGGAAAAGGAATATTTCATCCAGTTTTGCTGATATGCTTATCCAGAGTTTCTCAGGATGGATGAGCAGCCAGCAAAGCGAGCCAATGTCTCATTCAAGGATACTTTGGCATACAGCTGTTCCTCAAAGGAAGCAGCTCTTCTGCTTCTGGGACAAAAGGGAGCGTCCCTGACTGGGGTTACTATAGATAGTCATTATCCTAACATGGCGTAGGCAGTGAAAACCACTTGGTGTGGTGATTAGATGTAAACTAAAATGTGCACCTCTTGGAACTTTCTTCATGTAAATTACTGAAACCACATTCAGGTACCCATGACAACGAGCATCTGCCCTGCTGATGTGTCCTTGAGCCAAAAAGAGAAAAGGAAAACAGAAAATCTGAAGGCTGCTGTTCTGACAGCTGACTATAAACTCTGACCTCTGTTAATACAGATCAGCAATATCCCAAAAATCCTGCAGAGCAACTACACAGTTTGCAGTCAGTGTCAGTTCAGCCTGTTGCTATTTAAACCTTTAGGACTGTACCATTACCTCCCAGAGGGTTGGTGGGGTTAATTCTGGGGAGTTTCCTGTGGGGATGAGCCCTGGTGAGGGAGGGGTAGTGTGTGGTGTGTATGTGTATGGATGGGGTGGGGGAGTTGTGAGCTTGGACCCTAATCCCTTAGGTTTGTCTACAGCACGGCCTTAGGATAAACTGACATGTAGGCGATCGACATTTGAAAATGCTACTTGGACTTTAGCACATTTTTAAGTTCAGAAGTCATTTTATATATTACAGGAATGCTTTCTCTGGTAAGATAACATTTGTTATTTTTCAATGCTCGCTGCTTTGTGAGATGAACTAGTGAGGAAGTAGATAACAATGATGGAAAAGATAGCTGCAGTATGATTTTGATGTGGTGCAGCAACACAGGCCTGATGATATGCAGCAAATGCTCCTTTATGGTCAGCACTAATTCTGATGTTTATAAAACAGAGAAATTTTAGTCTGAAATTATTTGTGTCAACTGGTTTGTCTTTTACAAAAAGACATAAAGCTGAATGCTTGATGAGATTTTATGCGTTGAGTGGAAAATCTCCAATCTCTTGTCTATCAGACATAGAAATGGGTCAGTTAGCAGACAGTTGTCCCAAGAAATCAAACGGGATTCTCCTTTGACCTCTGGAGATCAGTGCAGAATTGAGATTAAAAGTAACTTGTTTCTGTTATGGTCCAGTCATTCTATCAACAGATGCACGACATTTAGCAGATGTAGTGCAACTGATTTTGTGTTATATCTCAATAGACACGAGTTGCTTAGTGGGATCCTGGTGTTGTAGGCTGATAAGAATTTCAGCAATTTCAATTTGGACTAACAATTTTTAGCGAGCAAGAAAAATGTTTGGATCCTCTCAGAATTGCTTAGCTGTAGGTAAGGCTTTGATCAAACAGCTGTGTTGCAGAAATAGGGGTGGGTGGGGGTGGGGAGTGATCCAATCACCAAAAGGGGCCAAATTAAAAAATACTATTGTAAAACTGAAGGCTAAAATTTAATTAGAGGACAGTGACTTGTTGCAGACAATTAATAAGCACAACGCTCTGGGTTCTAGGGTTGATTTGTGATTTTGTCAATTTCTACATTTCCTCAAATGTAATTAAAACATAGATTAAAAAGCAGGAGGTTGGACCAGCTGGGTATGAAAAAGTGAATGAATAAAGCTAGGCTCCTACAGCTAAACTGGAGCTGCCTGCAGTGGTACTGCTAACTACGGTAACTTAAAAATTAAATATAAGAATTGCAACTGGAAAAAAAAATCAAAACGTAGACCACTGGGCAGCTCTGATGCTCTATCCACTGCATAAGTATGTGTGTGTGTGTGTCTGTAGAGCTATTCTTCCAAAGTCCATTATCGCAGCATTAATATGTAACGCCACACGAGTCTGTGGTTCCATTGCTCTCTGTAGAATGAGCTACAGAGTTTGGCTCAGTCAAAATAATAAATGATCTGAATGGTAAAAGGTCATTTGTGAAATTGAAATAGCTTTCTGTAAATTAGGTGGCAACCTCTCTGCTTCCTGTTAAACCTCAGACTCACATTGATTTTCGTGATTTCAAAGGGGCTCTCTGACTTTTCAACAACGGGACACACTCAGAGAAAGGCAGATTATGACCTATTCAAAAACTGCAGAGGCACAAATGGTGATTTGACATCTGTGTAAGTGTGTATGCAGTGTGAGTTACGGCTGTGAACGCAAACCTGGATCAATAGGTTAGAAAACAAGGGCGGGAGATAGAGGGGAAAGACTAGGCAGCCCAACTGTTATGTAAGCGCCAGCTGTGTGAGAAAAGGAACTGCAGCAGGATGATGAAAGCAACTTCTCTTCTCTCAACATGACTGCGCATCCATCCTAACACATTCCCTCTCATGAACTGTTCATGTATTATTCACACCGCTTGAAGAAATAATAAATAGATGATCGTGATTCTATCACAGTACTCGACTTCTTCTCATTACTTCCGACAGTAAAACTGATTCAAGCGTAGATTTTAACTCAGACTTTCTGATTTCAAAAACCTCGCATCTGAAAGCACCAAACAGCCTACATTTCAGTGCATCAATCCAGACTGTGTAATCCATCGCTGCTACCAACCACCTCTGTGACTTTCATGATGAAACAATGATGTGAGGCAACAAGGGCAGAATAAAAAAAAATCTGCTGTCGTAATCTGGATTAATTTACAGTATTCGTCATCCTGCTTCCAAACCAGCACAGACCCACCCAAACCAAACCAAGCACTGTCACATGATAGGACTACAAATATTTCTACAGGGCTAATAATCACCGGATGAAAGTTATGCCAATAACACTTAGGTGGACACAAATGGTCCATTAGGAAAACTGCAGTAAATTAGGATTAAAACGGTTCAAATCACAATTAAAGTTATGTGAAAGGATTCAGGTGGAAATACATCTTATTCATTGAAACTATTAAGGATTCTATTAAAACGTATGTGGAATGTATGGCTGATGAAATTTAAGGACAAACATGCTAAAACCTTTTGGTATAGTTTACTCTGGGGAAATCAGTTTGCCATCAAAAAGCAACAGAAGTCAGAGAAACAGAGATTGTGTGGAGATCTGGGTTATTTAGGTGATCTAGGTATTTATTAATTAATCATGTTAAAGACTGTCATTTGCATTAATTAGTGTCAGGCTAAAAAAAATCAATTAATATATTCTGTTATTTAAGGTGAACTTTGTGGGTTACCTTTTGAAATGTGTTTTTAATGAAGAAAAATATATAATTAAACAAGATCTTAATAATTATAATACATACAGTTGTAAGTACAGCATTACTTGGTCTGGCGTGGCCAATAATTTATGCTCCTAATGCTACTTTATGCTAATGTTAACTAATGCAAAGACGATTCAGTTTTCTAGATTTACTTCTTTACCAGTTTTATCTAATTTCTGCAGTAAACGTTTAATAGGTTGCTTTACAGTACTATATACTTCATACGTAGTACAGATGTGTGTAAGTGTGAATGTGAAGCTGTAGCTGGAGGAGGAATAAAAAGCTAAAATTTGCCTGTGACTATACAGTTAGAGGTTAAATAAAGGTTTGTCTTGTTTAAATGTTTAACTGTGTGACTGAATTGTGTGCTGTGTTTGGTATTCAGCCATTTAGTTATCTGACACAAAGCATTAAAAAAAAACATGACATCATATTTTATCGCTAAACTACAGAGGATAACAGCCTCAGGTTAGCAATTTCTTGATTTTACAAGCATGTGTGTGCTTGGCTTCACTGTGATACTCATTTAATCACGTCAGCAACGGATGCAGCAACAAAAATCCTCAAATTTAATGGAATTTGTGTTTCTCTGTTCGTCGGCATTAGATGCTCTGGCCTCTGGTCACCAGAAAAATCAAGACAGATTTGAATGTGTCATTGCAGCAATGCTGTGTGATGGATCAAAATGGCGCCAGAGCATTTGAGCGGGGGAGACGATGAGATTATCTGCTTGTGTGGAAGGACAAGCAGCCTACAGAGAGGGAGAAAAGCATTACCAAACTTGTTTTTCCTTCCACAAGACACTTTGAAAAATTAAATTTTTGGAAGAAGGATAGGATTTTAGTTCACAAGCAAGTTTTTTAAAAGTTGGAAAAATAAAAAGGAAATCAACTCAAAATCTGTTTTAATAGATGCAATAAATACAATACAAAGATAAAAACAGGTTTAAAAATCTTTCAAAAATTAACACGTTTAATCATAGTTTAACCATTAAATCTTATTCTAGTACTTTCCCCGATACTTTTATAGAATTTTGATGTAAGTTTTATAAAATGATTGTTTGGAAGTCCTTTGAGACATTACCTGTTACCTGCCCAAAGGGCACCGTTGCATAGCAATGGCTTTTCCTCTACAATTGATGTGGGGCTAACAGACAATATGTAATGTGTGGTGTTCATTGTTTTTCAGGTTCAGCATGCAGCACTTTACGTATCACGGAAGGTAACAGTCTTTCAGCATACTTGTTGAGGCCTTAAACCTGAGACTTAACTACAGAAGACCTGCAGTTTTCTTCTGACACCAGGATACTGCAGCTACACGAGAGCAGCTCACGGCTTCTTGGGAGGATTATGCCATTATAGCTGACAACTTGAGCTTCCTCAGCACACGACGGCTCCGAGACAAAGTCACTCCTGCTCTCCTTACATGCAGCAGGAACCATGGATGACCCCTATCACAACAATGTAAACCAGCAGATGACCGAAGGTGGAGATTACACCTACACCCAAGATGGTGGAGGTCAAGACGGCTACCCTTATCAGACGGACTACCCTCCACAGGACGAGGATGCTGCTAGTGATGCCACTGAAGGGGCAGATGAGGATGATCAGATGTATGAGGGGGAGTACCAAGGCATCCCGCACCCCGACGAGATCAAGGAGGCACGACGGGCAGCTCGAGTGGAGGCCAGGAGGAAAGCCCGGATGGCTGCCCAGCAGGAAGAGGAAGAGGAAAGCCTGCCAGAGCAATACGAGACCATCATGGAGGACTGTGGCCATGGACGCTTCCAGTGGATGCTCTTCTTTGTGCTGGGCTTGGCGCTAATGGCTGATGGCGTGGATGGTTTCGTGGTGGGCTTTGTCCTGCCCAGTGCTGAAAAGGACATGTGCATATCTAACGCTGACAAAGGATTACTGGGTGAGCTTAACTGAATTTCAATTAAATTTTATGCAGATCAAGGGTTGTTTAGAGCCAAATCAAATCAACAGTTGGGTCAAGGTAATATAAGTAATGTTGACGTTGTTAAATGAGAAAAATTAAGGTCACAAATGTGAGATATAGTGAATATTAAGTGTATCCGCTCACTTTCTGAGCCACTGATGATTAAGAATTGTTTTTAAAAACTGCAGCAGTTTGCTGACTCGCCTTTTGGGACAGTGTTTCAGGTACAAAATATCTGGATAGTGGATAACACTGATCTTATCCAAATGTCCGTCAGTGTGGAATTCAACAACTGCAGCTAAATTTGATCAATGACAACAAATGCAAAGACCTGTTTATCTTTTTTGTACACAGCTGTTTTATCTGCATGGCAACCAGAGTATGTTAACTTTCAGCATAAAAAAAATCTTGTTCCTTCTTGACAGTTTATCTATATTGTTTAATATGATAATGATAATATGATAAATATCCTCATTAGAGATCACAGTCATGTTTGCAGATTTTCAGTTGGTCAGAAAATGTAACTTTTACCCATATGAAAGGCCCGGAGAGGCCTATAATTCATCCAAAAGATGGCATACTCATAGCATTCTGTCCAATAGTTGCCATAATTCTCAACTTCACGAGGCTAAAAAAATATCAAGACATCCCTAAAGTCAGTAGAGTTAAATCTATTTAAAAAATCAATTCAACAGTATGTCAGTTTGAACAGACTACTGACAAACTACTCCCTCTGCCATTATTTATCATATGGCTAGCATGACAAACATAAATTATATGTAGAGACATAAAAACCTGCAAGACTACCTAATTACAGTCATCTGTCGAAGAGTTTCACTCTTTACCCAGGGAGGAGGATCTCATCAGTGAAATGATCTGTTGTTGTGCTTGGCTGGAACAAAATCCCGCATATGCTTGGCTCTTGACGGCACATGGCTGCAGCCCACTGCTTCAGATAAAAATATCCCCCAGTCGCTGGAGCAAATTAGGGGGAAAAGGCTTGGATCTTTCTAGGCAAATGCAAAAATAAAGAACATAATGAACATTGTGTGTCCTAATGGAGTTTGGGTCCACTGTGAGCAACCAGATTAGCTTCACTGAGCCTTGGCAGTGGTCCTCCATGTGTCTGGGAGTTGGCTTGAGGGTGCCAACAGATATATTTTAATTATTTAGTTATCTTTAGGACTGAAATTTGTATGCAGCGTGGACTTATCGGGAGATTTACCTTGAAAACGTCAGTTCCTCACTTTCTGTGCAGACAACTGAACTGCAAATTAAAGCCTTTCACCTTATTTCCCAGACCTCGTGTGTAGCCAGGCGATGTGGCAGATTGCACATCGCTCATTTCATCTTAACAACAGGCTCCTGGGATGAAGCATTGCGAGAGATTGATGAGGAACCCGGTGGTGATTGCATTCGGTGTGTGTTCCCAGGCTAATATGGAGCATGTTGCAGCAGTCAGAGATCCTGGCGGCCTGCGGAGCTGGTGCAGAGCTGTCAGATATGCTTCAGGCCTCTGACAGGCTGCGGTAGCAGGAGGAAGGCCTGGTGAAAATGAAATCACAGCGTCTGTTTGCGCAGAATGGGGGCAGAGAGCTGATCATTGGCTGAGAATATGAAGTAGATCTGCAGAATGATCCTGTCTGATTCATGCTCATGCTCTGTCCACTAGACACACAGGAACAGAAATTACTTTAATCGTAACCTTAGTCCTGGAAAGCAGACAGACTCCCAAAGCTTTTGTTAAACACAGGAGGGTTAGCACACTCACCTTTAATGACAGTTATATTGTTTAATCTGCAGGGTGAAGTGTTCAGTAGAGGAAGACACAGTGGTGGACACAAACAAAAGGAACCTACACCTGATTGATGATATCAGATATTCTGCTCAGATTTAATCTCAACCCAAGCTGCTATACTTGATCCACAGCTACTGCGTACGTAGATAATTTTATGATACCTGCCAGATTGTCTTTGGTGCTTCATGTCTATTACTGAAATGTTTTGGCAGACTGGGAGAAATCATGCTAATCGTTCAAAATGTCAAGGTCTGTGATGCTCAGAATTTGAATTTTCACATGTTTCTAGAGATTTCTGAAAACAGCAGCTTCACTGCCCATTCAGAGCCTTCAGTTCTTATTTTCTTTTTTATCTCACAGATTCAGTAGTTTCTAATTTAGTTTTAGCAGGAAAACTTTGCTAATGTACTCAACAATGTTGAATAACTACTGCCCTAACACATTATACATTTTTCTTAAAACATAAATTCAAATACTTTCAGAAAAGTTGGAAAAGTATTCAACCATGGAAACAGTCGATTAAGGAAAAATGAACACGCTAATGCTAGTTTTTTAAATTTAGTTTGGTTATCTTAACAACAGTTACACTTTTAATTGAAGTAACAATGTATATGAGAACTCATTTGTGATAAATGTGTTTTAAAAAGTGAGGCATTTAAACATAGTAAACAACCTAAAGTAGCTGAGCCAGAAGCTAACAATTAAAATAACTTCCATCCTTTAGTTTGGTCCCTGTGTGAGATGGCAGCAACGATCAACATTTTCACTTAAAGGCTTTTCAGTGATTTGAAACCATTTTGTAAAACGTTGATAATGTTGGGTCTAATGTTGGGTATTTATCAAAGATGATATTCTCTTAAACAAAGTGCCTCCCATGCAGGGATAGACCCACTTGTTTCACAATTGCTGACGTTTGCTTCCCAGTTTTCAAGGGACTCATGGATTAGTAAGTTAACAAATGATCAAATATCATAAAATCACAAAGAAAAACTGCACTGATTCATGAAAGTAGGTAGCAAAAATGTGGATCATTCACCTGGTTAGAAAAATGCATCGATTTAACAGTTGAAATAGTCACAAATGTGCTATCTGAGGAAGTGGGCTTAATTCATTTTATTTGGAAATTAATTTATACAGCATCTATTCACGTTCAAGAGCATGGAGTCTCTTTTACTATATATTTTGTATCTCTGGCATCTTTTGCAGCTGTATTTTGTTCTGTGCCTACAGTTGTGATAAAAGCACTTCAGCACAGTGCTTTCACTTTTAATACAGGAAGGAAAAGATAAATTCTCCCTTTTCCTCCAGGGACTAAGTGTCTTCACTGTATTCAAGGACACTTTTGCAAGCTTGTTGCTGCCAGGACAGATCCTAGGCCTCCATGTGAAAGATGGGATTTCTAAATGCAAGGCCATCCTGTTAATTTATCCTTGCAGATATCTGAGGCGTACACATTTCCTTAAGCAACTATTTGGCCAGCATATTAGATGGTATGATAGCTTTTACTCTTCTTTCCCCTGTGCAGTCTCGAGTTGAATGGGATATGCAACTTGGCGTGTGGAGCATCAGAGCATTTGGGTAGTCTAGTAATCCACGGGGAAGGTGCACACTATGGCTCCACGTGCTGTTAAGCTGCTTAGTTCCTCTGTAGTTATGGCTGTGTAGTAAAAACACAGACTAGGCAGGAAGTATGCATTGTTCTAGTGGTTTAAACAACACGCTGAAGAAGATAGCTGAGGCTGTAGATTTGAGTCCCTAAACAGCTAAGACAGGAGAGCTTGTTTCTCTCCCCAGAGACATTAAAATGAAAAATGGAGTATGCTCTTGTGTGGAGCTGTGGAACTGCTTCAGAACAAGAAGAAATGGCAGGCTGGACCACCTGCCTGCTGCATGCTGACAGATTCCAGACCGGCCTGACTCAGAGTGGGAGTCTGCAGTGATAAAGCATGTAATCAAAGAAACAATAAAATGTCAGAGAAAGCCCAAATAACAGAAAACTGAAAGCAGGTTTTAAAATATGGAAGGTGAGTGTTGTAGAAGCGAAATGCTCTTCCTGGGAAATTATTGTGACCTTTATTTCTTTGTCTCAAACGTAAGAATGTGTCACACTGAAACACTGTGTGACGATTTCTCTTCTTCCTACTTCATACAAGGGTAAAGGGAGCCCCCTTGTGTTTGACTTGAGTTTTAAAAGTGAAGCGTTTGTTTGTGTGTGGATGTGTGAATCTGTAAAGGTCACATTTCAAGTTAACCAGGTTCCCAAGTGATTAAATATGTGCGTGTGTATTTGCAGGTCTCCTGGTGTATGTGGCCATGATGGTGGGTGCACTGGTGTGGGGTGGTCTGTGTGATAAAATGGGGAGGAGGAAGTGTCTGATCTACGTCCTGACCATCGACCTGGTCTTCTCCTTCCTGTCCTGCTTCGCTCAGGGCTACGGCTTCTTCCTCTTCTTGAGGTTCTGCTCTGGCTTTGGGTGAGACACTGACTTAGCCAAATTTACATTTACATTACTTGAACAAAGAAAAAAACATCCACAGGCTTTTGTCAGACTGACTGACCTTTTCTATAAATAAGTTAGTAGAAAGAGATTTCAAAATAATACCTCTGACATTTAAAGAAAAAAATGTACCTGGTAGAACTAACATTAAAAAGACTGTGGTCTGTGGTACATTTAGTCAGACTGCTCAGAAGAAAGTAACTGATATGCATGTTAAAAACATTGCATGTTCTATTGTATCTAACCTATTATGCTTCTTAGTGCTTTAATAATGGAGTGTTTTAATTTGGTGGGCTATATTAGACATTTCAGACTGCTAAATTAGTTTAATTGGTATTCTAAAAGAAAAACTGACCCAGTGTTTGAGTCTAATTGGCGTTTACTGTGTTGGGCAGTTTGACATCCGTTCTTTACTGCTATGCAAGATCCTCCAACTACATGAGGAAGTGTAAAGCAAAAACTGTTGTTTAAGCCATTTAACAATTGCAGGAGAGAGCCAGGAAGATTACAGTAAAGTAGGGGTCTTGTAGTACCTTCTACTCTGCATGCTATCATGTGCAGCCTGCTGGCACATGCCACGAGAACACACTGTTAACACCATCTCAAAGACTGCATGCTGCACACGAGGAGATTTCTGCTTATTTACTTCAACAGAGCATTTCTTTATTACACTAATTAAAACAAGTAAAGAGTGCTGTTTGATTGTTCTTATTTTCAGCTTTATTGCTCAGTTCCTGCTGTTGCCAGCACCTTACGGTGAAGCTATTGGTGCGCACTGATTGATTTTGCAACTTTCAAAGACACATTTATTTTGATAATGGTTCCAGCCAGATCTGCAATATTGATGTTTGAGCTTGTTGTTCAGCAACAAAATACAAGGTCACCGAAATAAACTGTTCTGCTGTCGCTGATTCGCGGTGATAATGAGTCCCACGTTAGTCATTAACACTCACATTTGAAGAAAAACTATGTGCATTTTTCTGGCATGCTAACAGGAGGCTGACTGCACATCCCTGTATGAAAAGATTTGCTACAGTCATAAAAAAGAGAGGAATCTTCAAAAATGCCAATAATCCTTGAAGTCATTTTAAACCTACAGATGTGATAATCTGATTTTTTTCCCCCACAGTTCAAAAAATGTTTCAATGTCCCACAAAGTATGTAAAAGATCTGAGAAATGGAAACGGCATTGGCCAAAACGATCAAATATCCCTGCTGATGCCGTTATTAAACTGTGACCATCGCCAGCATTGAAACTTCCTTATCGCAAGGCTCCAGAATTAAATCAATAATCACCCTCATGATAGGAATCAAAATCTTGACTTAACTCGTGCCTGTTCAATAAAATGAGCTCTGAAAAACCTATCAAATATTCTATCAATGCCAGTAATTCTGTCATTATATAACAAAATGTTTTTAATCACGAGTGTTTGAAGCTTGCATTATCATGAGTTTTAGATAAGAATTTTCCATTTCCAGTTAGGGTTTGGCCTTAATTTTTCATTTAAAATGCAAATGTGTGACAAGTTGTCTTTAAAGCAAATTTGACGAACATCCAAAGGAATAGGATGTCCTAAAATCTGGACAAAATCGCATCAAAATCAAAAACATCTGTGTAAGATTACACTAATTTTATGTTTTATGATCCCTCCTCCAGAATTGGTGGCTCCATTCCAATTGTGTACACCTACTTTACTGAGTTCCTGCAGATGGATAAACGTGGAGAACATCTGAGCTGGCTCTGCATGTTCTGGATGTTTGGAGGCCTGTACGCCTCCTTCACCGCCTGGGGAATCATCCCTCATTATGGTAACGCACAAACTCTGATAAACAGACAAACACATGTAGAGTATTAAAACATATAAGATGAATAATTGAGACCCCCACAAATGGAGTCTGTAATAACAGTGTCCTCTGTTAGTCTCTCACGGCTGTCAGTTCAAATGCCTCGTGCATTAATGTTTGCACAAGTTTGCAAATTTAAACGTTTGCCTTCTAAAAATATTACATTTAATAACGTAGTATAGTGACGATACCCCAATTTTGGTATGTGATACCAAATGCAGTATTAGCAATTCGTAATGTGTTCGTAGGGAGAACAGCATTACTATTTCAGTTTTAATCAGTGGCTGAGACCATTACTTGCTGAACAGAAGCTGATGTCTTAATCTTTTCTGCCAAATGGGAAGTCACTGCAGTCCAAAATGTCACATTTTTTTGCCTCTTACTCCTATTTGCCCAAAATTCTTGAAATGCTACTGAAGTTAATCTCTTTGCTTAATAATCGTGTTCATAAGATTACAATAAAATGTATTTGCGCTATTAAAATGTGTTCATGTGTGACAGTAAAGAGAAATGACGATGACAAAAAAATTGTTACTGAATGTAATTTCTGGAGGCAATTTATCTGAAGTTCAACAGCAATTTGACACCTCATACACTCGCCTTTTAACTTTTATGTCTATGAACACCATCCTGCACCATCCTGCCCCACATACCCTTTATTCACAAAAGTACTGGGCCATTACACTTAGAGGAGCTGCCACAAAGCCCCTAGTACACTGTTTCTGTGCTGCTGTTTATACCAGAGGAGGATTTGAACTCTGAAGATCTTTGCTTACTATCCATCCTTGATTCTCTATTAGTAAATGTCATCTAATCATGTTTGAGAATGTAGCTCTTGCTCTTGAAAATTGTGTGTAGCCCGCCCTTGGCTCCTCCCTTGCTTTTTGTTGGAATTTTTCTCATAGTGGGAACATTTTGCTTCTTCTCTTTCTTTCTCAGTCTGCATAATGTGGTGAAATGTATTGAATAACTCATTAATATGGCTTATCTGGAACCTTATCTAATCAGTTATGTTCTGAATTAATTATTCACAATAAAACCAAACATACCGCCAGCATCCAGTTTGAAAAAGATTCCCAAACAGCCTCACAGTTGGCTACTTGTAATTGACTTTTCATGACTCAAATGTAAACAACTCAAGAAAAAAAATTGCAACACATTAATTCTGTGATTTGATAATTAAAGCATTCCAGAAAACAAGGTTTGTGGAACTATTAACGTGTTCTTCACTGGGTGGTTTTTGCAGGTTGGGGTTTTGCCATCGGTACACATCTTCAGATGCACAGCTGGAGACTGTTTATCCTGGTGTGTCTCTTTCCTGCACTGGCCGCACTCATCGGACTCGTGTTCATGCCGGAGAGCCCGAGATTCCTCCTGGAGGTCAGATACTGGAACCAGTGTAGCCAGTTTGTAGTAATAATATTGATTGTCAGGATTATGCATCCAGCTGTGATTGGTTAAGAATGTTGAGTCATCACCACACCAACATCCCACTGCTGTGCAAAGGTAGCGATGAGCTGCTAAGACAGCACCAGAACACCACCCACCCCTGTTTCTCATCCTGGACAATATCAGGGCTTTAACCACATGTGGTATTGTATTTGTATGCTACTGCTGCACCACAAGTTATCACACATTACCCCTTCTAATAAGAGGCAGACCTAATGGGAACATTCATCTGGCTGCAGTGCTGGTGGGAAAGTTTAAGCGCTCAAACCAAAACCCATGATTAAAAGAGTCACTCTTATATATAGTGCACTAAACTTTATAATTTCAGCTACACATTGGAAAACCCTGAGAGGTTTCACAGGGTGCTCTTTAAACTTGTTTAAATAGATATTTGTATGTTTGTACGTGTGGTTTTTCAGAATGCACGGCATGATGAGGCGTGGATGATCCTGCGACAAGTTCATGACACCAACTGGAAAGCCAAGGGGGAGCCAGAGAGAGTTTTCACTGTAAGCCCTCATTTACACTCATGTTTGGCTCAGTCAGTTGACAGAAAAGTTATCTACTTATTAACAAAATAAAATAAATGTAGCTCCAATCTCCCTGCGTTTGTGCAGGTGATATCTCTTTGTAATTTATGTAAATACCTTAGAGTTAGTCTTACATCTCTTCGTCCATCTATTCATTGTCTGCTGCCTATCTTGGTCCAAGGGCAGCAGTCTAAGCAGAGATTCCCAGACCTCCCTTTCCCTAGCAGCCTCCTCCAATTCTTCTAGTGGGACACCAAAGGGTTCCCAAGCAAGCTAAGGAACATAATCTCTCCAGCATGTTCTGAGCCTGCCCTGGGGCTTCCTGCTCAGCAGGAACATTTTTGTCCAGTTGCACGTGCCAGCTGGACAAGCCCAAAATAACTCATCCAGGAAGTGCCTGTGTGGATAGGGTGGCAGTCAGAGGGAGAGGCCTTGGTGAAATGAAGCTGAAGACGGTTCTTGGGCTCTTGAGTGTGCAATAAAGTAAAAATCATTGAGGAGAAATCATTTGAAAGAATCAAAAAATAATAATTTATTGAACCAAAGAGTTGACCATTCAGCAACTCCAATGAACTAACATAACAGGACCTACAACTCTAGACACTGGTGGTGATGGACTTGAAGATTTGATTGAGGTTCTCTGTGCAACTAGGATGAGGTGGAGATGGGGGTGAGTCGGGTTGGACAAATGAGAGTCTGAAATTCAGAATAACTGAAAGGAACACATGCATGTAAGAAATTAACTAATTAGACTAGAGTAATGATGAAGATGCTTCATAACAAAACCAAAAAAACAACATAAATCCCAGAGCCCCATCTGTTAACATACTGATGAAATGTTATTCACAAGTCCTGATAATCATTTGTTTTTATTAATTAATCTGGTTAGGAAACTTTGATCAAAATTTCCAATGTTTGTTTGTCTGTGTGCAACACTCATTACCATGAATATCCCCGACAGGTTTTTTTGTTTTTGTTTTATTGTTTCAACTCAAGGATCTAACACAAAAACATTTTTTAAAAACTCGATCATATATTAATTTACATGTTTTCTGCTTAAGTTAAAGTTTTATTTATTTTTAATGTTTTTTTTTATGTCACACTTGTGTCATCTGTAATTTTACATGAAAAAAAATCAAAAAAACTTGATGCCTTTGTCAAGGTAACCAACATCAAGACTCCACAAACTCAGGAGGATGAGTTCATAGAGATCCAGAGTGAGACTGGGACTGCTTTCCAGCGCTGGACTGTCAGAAAAATGACCATGCTGCAACAGGTCTGCAACACTTTACAGTAAAATAAAACAGAATTAAAAAAAATAGACAATTTTTTGCTTCGCTTCTTTTTTAATGCAGACCTTGCATGTCAAGTTTGATTGTCTGTCGGTCTCTTTCTCCTTCCTTAGGTGATGGCCAATATCATGTCTCTATCAGCGCCGGAGCTCCGACTACAAGGCCTCCTTCTGGTTATTGTCTGGTTCTGTTTGGCCTTCAGGTAGATCTTCATTGAAAGCTGAGGTCAAAACAGACCTGTGCTTTCATCTACAGAAAAAAATTTAAAATTTCTATCTCAGGCGAATCATTTTAGTTTTCTCCACTCATGCTTCCAATCCTTCTGTGTGTATCAGCTATCACGGGCTTGGAGTGTGGTTTCCTGATATGATCAAGTACATGCAGTATGAGGAGTACGAGTCCAAAGTCCGAATATTCCATCGAGAACGTGTGGAGCGTTTCCACTTTAACTTCTCTCTGGTCAACCAGATCCACCGTGAGGGGGAGTACATCCATGACAAGTACATTTCCGTAACACCTAATGTTATAAATTTTTTCTCAGTTTCACAGTTTCGTTTGTTTGTGCTACTGCTTCATGTCATTATTTTCATTTAGGTTCGCCAACATTGAAATCAAGTCGGTCAAGTTTGAGAGTTCTCTGTTTGAAAACTGCTACTTTGAGGATATCAAATCCACCAACACCTTCTTTGAGAACTGCACTATTAAAAACACCGTCTTCTATAACACAGGTACCAGACCAGACTGCACTGAAACTGTACAATTAGCTAAAGCAATAGGTTTCTCCTGTAAGCACTTTTTACAGTCTAACCCTCTGTACTCTTCAGATCTCTGGCAGGACAAGTTCAAGAACTGTCGAATGGAAAATGCCACCTTTCTCCACCCGAAGAAAGGCTGCCATCTGAACTTTCAGGAGGAGAATGACATTGTCATCTACATGGTCAGCTTCCTGGGCAGTTTGGCTGTCTTGCCTGGGAACATCATCTCAGCGTTGTTCATGGACAAGATAGGAAGGATCCGCATAATAGGTGACCTCAGGAGAGAGCAGCACAGGAACGATGAGCTTACGTAGCCAAATATTCAGTCAAATATTTGTCAGTATGTCCTCATTTATTTGTCTTTCTAGGTGGTTCTATGCTGGCGTCATCGGCCTGCACTTTCCTTCTGCTGTTAAGTTTCAGTCAAGGAGCTGTAATATGTTGGCAGTGTCTCTTTTATGGCGTCAGTGTGGCAGCCTGGAATGGACTAGAAGTAATTTCTGTGGAACTCTACCCGTCCTCTAAACGGTAATCTATCCCATTTTTACGTGTAATATGAGCTCCATTATAGTACAGATAAATTATTATGACTCTTCCAAAAGGGTAGGCCAAACCCACCGTTCAGTAAAGGCTAGAACAACAAATATGCAGCTGCATTTTAACCAAAAATAGCCTGGAATGCACTTCATGCCTTCTTTGTTCAGTAGTGACTCGTTGGCTTTAAATATATAATCTCCCCCCCTGCTGGTACTGCAGCTTAGGCATGCATGTCCATTTTATGCTTGGGAGAGGCAAAGTGTAACATCCACATCCAGTAAACCCGAAGACTTGTTGTTTCAAATGGAGTGAGATATTTACAACATATAAGAACTGTAACTAGTAAAGGCAGGACTTTAATGAGTAACTGAGTAATCACATCTGCCGGGGGAGAAAATGAGAAAATATGCAACCAGGAGCTTATATGTGAATTTAATGCCTGATATAAAGGGAGTTATTTTGCAGTTGATAACAAAATTATACACATTATATATAGAAAGGTAGCTGTTAGTACACCAATCTTAGCTGTGTTACTGTGGTTTGCTGAGGAATGAAAAACAGTATACCATTACTGCACAGCAACACACTGCAAATGTCAAAGTAGCTTAACTAAACTCAAAATGTGGCACCTGCCCTTAGAAATGATTGAAATAAGGAAAGCATACACCAGTGTGTACCACCGAGATGGAACGTGCCATCGCGCTAATGTGTAAAAATATATAAACCAATACAAAAATGACAAAGTAGCTTAACTAAAACCAGCTATTTCCTGAACAAATACATTGCACAAACTCGTGCATTATTCTTTGTGGCCTGCGCTCATAGCTGGCTCCCTAAATCATTTTCTCAGATATCTAAACTCTGACACCCCCTAGTTGCGCAAAAATGACTTGGATATTTCACAACATTGGTGACACAATGCTTGGTACACACAGGCGTTTTCGCTGTTCTTTCTGCTGATGCCTCATGTCCTATTGCCTGCATTCTGTTTTGTCTTCTGTGAGGCTCAAGCTTTCAGTTTGGCAGCTTTGTTCTTGGTTCCTAACGTTGCAGGTAGTGCTTCGCACCTCACAGCACCTGTGAGGCATATTTGATGTTTTTTCCTGGCAGACAGAAGTGAACACCTTTGTGCAAAACAATGCCAGCGGAGAACAAATGAACTCAAACGTTAACCTGCATCCATGGCCAATTCGGTTCTCCACACATTCACTTCATCAGTAAATCAGCCAAGTTATGACTCTAACCCTTCTCTGTCTTTCTGACTCTGCAGAGGAACTGCGTTCGGCATCCTGAATGGCATCTGTAAGTTTGCGGCCATCATTGCCAGCTCTATCTTTGCCGCCTTCATCGGCATCACCAAGATCATCCCCATCTTCCTGGCCTTCGCCGCCCTCGTCTGTGGAGGCATGGTGGCTCTTAAACTGCCCGAAACCCGGGAGAAAATCCTCTCCTGAAAAGCCAAACTCCTGCAGCCTCTGGGCCTCAAACGCAGTCTAGCTATGGGTGAAGCCGCATATTCTGGGGAAAGTATCAGCTTTTTTAAACTGAAACACAAAGGTAATAAAGAAAGGCCACGTTGTGCTAGATGAGTAAAACTATTGAAAACCTGTCTGGTTGCCTATATAAACCTGTGGTTGCTTTCTGTTCTGTCTCTAAGTACCTCAGGCTGCCCAGCTTTTCTGTCACATTGAATAAAAAAACTAGTCTTTGTCTTCCCTCCATCTTTCTCCCAACCTGCGTTTGCACACATTGTAGTAACATTTGTGTTGTTTGAGGTTCGTGTAAAAGATTAATATGAGATGAAAATGTGTACTTGAAAGGTGTTGTAGTTCTTGTTACCATGTCGTGCTTTGATTTCATTCCCTCTCAGAGAAAGAGAAAGGACTCGTAGTGATAACTTGAAATGAATTAGAATCCTGTTGTATTCACCGCCGAGACTCAGCAGCAATATCACTGCAGGTGTTGTTATTCAGAGAAAACACCCATTTCACCCACACAGTCTTTGTTTATTCTGCGGTGTCCTGTGGTGTCTGTAGTCTTCTTTAGTTGTTGCTTGGTTTGTTTTCTGTAGACTTGAATCCAGATTCACCATTTTCAATAATGTAGAAGATTTTTTCTTTTAAATGAAATCCTCTCCCGTCCATTTCTCCCAGCGTATCCAACCAAAACAATTCTCCTTGTCTGTCGTCGTGTCCTCGACTCTGAGACGTTGTGTCTGTCCTCAGTGGTAGAGCTGTGTTTTGCTGGTGATAATGTAGAATCAGAGTCTTGTTTGTCACATCTTGCCATGACAAAGTGTAAGGAACTGTTTAATTTGTTTTTGTCTGTTTTTTTTTTTTTAAAGAATGACTGTGAAAATAGATGTTTTGATATGATGCTCTCATTTTAACATACTGATGAAGAACTGATTTACAGAACTTGTTGCATATTATGTTTCAAGACTTCTAAAGAAGGTGTTACTTTTTTTTTTGGCACAACTGAGGTGTGTATGTGCGCGCGCTGTTATCCACACATCTGTGAATTCACTGAATCACAACAGTCTTGAATACCAGTATTGTATTTGTGGTTGTACATATAGACCTGTGTATATTAGTTGTAACATAATAGCTGCAGACATGACTTGAATAAAGCTGAGGGCTCATGATCTGGTTTCCTGGTTCATGAACACATGAAAAATGTCATACATTTTAAACTTTATGGAAAACTGTTAGTACCTGTTTTGTGTTGATTTAGAAGTCACTGACAGATGCATATAAAAGCAATGGAGGTGCTCTTCTTCTGGGGATTTAAATCTTTTCTATGTGATCCAATGACCCTCTAAGTACAGGTGTGATTGGCTCAAAGACACACCACATCTGACTGTGGTCACCCACTGGTTTGTGGACTTGCATTTTTAATTTTGGAGCCAACAGTGACCATATTTAAAAGACAGGGTTGATTCCAAACCAGTAGATAGCTCAGCATAGCCATTGCGTGTCTTTGGATTCTGGGAGAAAGCCAGAAAACCTGGAGAGAATCCACACAAGCAGAGAGAACATGCAATCTACACACAGAAAGGCCCCGGTATGAATTCAAACCCATGACCTTACTGCTGTGAGGTGACAATGCTAACCATGGCAAAATAATAAATAAAAACTTGGAGACTTGTGCAAGACATGGACTGGTTCCCATAGTAGAGAAATAATGTAGGTTATGTGCTTCTTTACATGTCCTGCACATCTTCTGCATGCAAGCTTCACCGTTTTATAATGAAACAGAATATTTATTTATGTTTTATTCAGACACAATGTGCATTTATCATCATCGCACTAAAGGGTTCACTTTTCACTGTTGTCCTGTTGCCAGAGGTTAATCTTAATCCTCAGTAAATACTGAGCTTCATTTTGATTCACCCTGCAGAAGTGTCCCAACTCTAATGTTACATCTCATTTGATTTAGTCACACAAAAACAAAGCAATAATCACAGGGGGGTTGTGTGTCAGCGCTATCAGTCTTATCTTAGTCTTGGCAAGAAAGCAAATAAGCGCATTTCTCAAAATGTTGAGCTTGTCCATTTGATATAATCTGACAATGTACAAAATACCCATAAGAAAACATTTGACAATAGTGTTTTGCTTGACAGATGAAGGTGTGCTTTCAGTGGGAGGTGCACTCTGAATATAAACTGTGACACAGTGATGAATACTGGCAGAACATTTAAAAATCTGTTAAGTGATAAAGAAGAAAGATACAATCAGCATAGCCGTCTTAAAAAAATGTCCTTTGAATTTATTTATTTGGTCATGTAAACATGATTAAAAAAATGAAATTATATCTTGCTTATTTTTTAATGTAAGCATTTGCGACCTGTTCGTTCGATTGTTTTCTAGCAAATTGTTTTCTCCTTCAGGTACGATGACTGCGAAAGGGAGAGGAAAAAAATAGCTGTTCCCATGTCAGAGCCAGCTGTGTGATTGTGGGGAACTAGTAAAAACATGGCAGCACACAAGTGTGAGCAAGTGCCAGTAGTAGGAGGATGTGTTTACTCTGGCTAAGGTGTGAAAGACACTCTGCTGATGTGTCTACCAGGCTTATCAGAATGTCTCATGGCTGTAGAGGCCAGTGAAACGTTGTCTCTGAAGCTAATATTTAAATTTAATCTCGTACTGACTTTTGCGCAATTTGACCTATTTCTGCAGCCTGACAGCATCTTCCTGCTTGGAGAAGAAGTTGCCTGAGTCGTGTTGGCCAGCTGGATTCTTTGATGTTCTGTGAACGTCACTTTCTAACAACTAGATGAAATTTACTGTGCACCTCTGGCTGACCCCTCCGGTTCCAGCACTGTTTCACACCTAGGGTGTAAAATGTGCTCCGCTCACATGCCACCTCACCCACTGACACACACACACACACACACACACACACACACACACACACACACACACACACACACACACACACACACACACACAAAGAACAAAACACTAACAAAATAGCTGTCATTGCCGCATGAATTTG